TACAGCACCCCGGGCATCCCAAACCATCCTCTCTCTGTCACTGTTTCAAAACTTCCACGTGAATTTCTAGGAAAAGCCTTTAATGGTTTTCCGAGAGGAAAGGGAGATGCCCTTCTCAGTACAGGCGAATGGTAGGCAAGGATTTCTGGGTTTAGTGGTCATATAAGACCACCTGGGAGAAAGGCAAGCAAGGGCCACCCAAATAAATGTGTTCAGCCTCACAGGGTTCCCTGTAAGGTAGAGAGAAAAAGGAGGCTGTGGCAGAGAGACAGACAGGAGTAAAATGTGGGAAGCCTTAAGAATTAGGGCCATGAATTATTTATCCTGGGCCACCAGGAGGGTTCATGCAAGGAAGCCTGGTGCAGGGTCAAGACAGTGATTACAGGGGGAATGCTAAGTGAGGGGACAAGCTTTTGCCTCAGAGACTTAGTTCAGGAACAAGTCTTTAAGAGTTAACATACAGAGGAACATCAGCATGATACTTTGGGCAGTACTTTAGCAGTAAAGATCACTTTCAGAACATAAATAGCCCATTCTCCTCCAGGTTAGTGAAAAATCTATTCAGACACTAAGAAACAACTATAAATTCATTATGTTTTAAACCACACAAACATACGAGCTAAAGGAAGATGCTGGAAAGCAAGTCTCTGTTGATCCAATAACTCTGCTAGGTTTTCCATAGGTAAACTCCAAAGCAGGACGTTGGGAAAGGAGAGAGGTACACCCATTCAGACCAGACAATACAGACCAGTGGTTACCAGCAGGTGACATGGGGATCCACAGTTCTTACATGCTCTCTCTGCAGATAACACTTCTAGTGGCACGTCCAGCTCTACTGGAACATTCCTAGGGTTTGTGGATTGTAGAAGGGAGGGCCCCAACAGTCCCAGCGAAAGCAGCGCCAGCAGGGCTGCTCAGGGATGGCCCCTGGCTCCTCGTCCTTCTTACAGCACGGTGCAGACATGTCTTTTGGGGGACTGGGGAAGGATTGTCTCATTTGCCAACACCTGCTCTGTACAAAGTAAGAAGAGCTCGGTGCAATAAACCCAAACCCAGTACGTGAGTGGCGGAAAGCAGTGCCAGAAATTCATAGATTCATAGATTTCTAGGTTGGAAAAGACCTTATAGATCATCGAGTCCAACCATCCCTAATCCCCATTAAACCATATCCTCAAGTAGATCATCCACCCTATTCTTAAACACATCCAGGGATGGGGACTCAACCACCTCCCTGGGCAGCCTGTTCCAGTGGCTGACAACCCTTGACACCGTATTAACTCGAAGCAGCAACACACTTCAAGGACCTAGAGGAAGGATGGAAGAAACTTCCTGGACAGTTCAACTGGTAACAAAATACCAGTTTTCCACTTGGCACTTATTTAAGGGAGCACAAAAGAGAAGCACAGGGAGGAGAGCCTTCTCTTGGTGCTTACGCCTCTAAAACCGACGGGATTTAGTAACAGATCTTACACCGTATAGGAACATGAGCTCCTCGCTGACACAATTCCCTATCTATAGCTGTAAATATTTGGAAATTTTCCCCTACGCAACATCTTCTTCCCAGATGGAAAGCGCCTCTGCAAGCTGATGTAGGGAACTCTATGGATTTAAAAGAAACTTCTGCTGCTGTTTCACACGAACCGCTTTTCAACCACATTACAAACACCACCAAACTCTTTGCATTCCAGTCCCTGGTTCTCAGACACAATTCATATTGTACCCATCTGGATAAATGAGTCACTTGGTTTCTGGGGACAAGGAAAAGATTTTATTGTCATTACTTCCTAAAGAGAACTCGAAGAAGCAAAACCATCACTCTCCCAGAAATTCCATTACTTTAAAGGACACTACAGAGATACAGTCATAACTTTTAGCTCAAAGAAATAGAAAAGGGAATGCCACAGAGTAGAACAACCATGATGTGCAATTAGCAATATCCTTTATTCTTCATGCTGCCTAGTGACTTAAAAAACAGTTAAGAAATCTTCCTGAAGTAATAAGGCAATAACAGCTTTTTTTTTACAATACATGCTAT